TGAAGAAGTAGATGGTCGAATTGGCAAAAGCGAAAACAGCAGTGATGGTGTAGAAGAGCGTAAAGTAGAATTGCTTGCGGAGGTTACCCATGTGCTTGGGGAGGGACATTCTTCGGATGAGCCATCCTTCCAAGCCCCCCATGTGCCGATCATGATGGTGGGGATAATACAAGTGGGTGAATGTCCAAGACTAGAGAAGTCAGTAACAGCGGAGGCAATCCTCATGCGAAACTCACGAAGGTCTTGAGTTGGTACAGAAAGACTAAGAACAGACTGATGTTGGCAAAGTCAAAGACGATGCGCCAATCAGAGAAGTCGCTTTGTTCATGGATCTCGTAATTGAGGACGAAGATCACCACGGCTGTGACAAGTGACAAGACAATTCCACGCAAGATAACGAGTACATTCTGCGGAATGAATGACCACGGGGAGTGAGATGCTCGAAGGAAGGCAGGCTATAAGTTCAACGAGTCAGTGGAAATAATCCAAAGCATCGTGGAGATGACTTACGTGGTCCTGCATCACATTGGGGCTGGGGAGGCCATCGGCGTTCTGGAGAAGAGGTGCCGAGTCCATCGCGAAGACTCAGCGGAAACGGCAAAGAAGGTGAAGAGGGTGCAGATGGATGATGAAAAAGATGCGGTGAAACAGATTATTGCAGTGAGGTGATGCTGGAGCGAGGAGCCGATGAAGCCAAGAAATGTAGGGGATCAGGCGTTGAAGAGGCGATGCTGAACGAGATGAAGATACGCGATGATGAAGCTGGGAAGAAGAGAGACGAGAGGGAGAAGTCATCGTAGTAGGTAAGGGTCGGCCAACAGCTGAAGAAAGAAGGTGCTGTGATGTTAGCTGAGAAGGCACTCACAACTGGCAGGCGCACGAGAGACGAAGCTATGAGGAAGGACGCGAGAGTGAGTGGTCATTAGGTACATTTCGGGACCCTAGACTTGTGAAAACTTCAGTATTATCAGCTGAATTAATCGGCTCGACTTATCGCAATGCTAATTCTATCGTACACTCATCAATAACACAATCCATTTATTCCTGCTTGGGCGCAGCGCTCTCATGCCCTTCTCGCTCCATACCCTGGCAGCCGGTAAGTCTTCCAGCAACCTCCTCGACCTTTCCATATCCCTTATCATGGTTCGGGTCGTTCTGTGCTCGAAGCTCGCCAGCCTTCTTCATATCGGCAAGACCTGCTGCCTTGTCCTGCTCACCAGAAGCCTTCCATGGTTGAGATCCGGTAATGGCGCCAATGGTAGCCTGGAAGGTGTGAGCGAGATGTCCTGGGGAGAATTGAGAAGGACTTACCTCTGCGGCTCCCTTGACGTATTGGGCGTGGCTACCGATGAGACCGGGCTGCTGGTTGTTGTTGTCGGCCATTTTGAGTGTAGTGTGTTGGTGTAAGTGCAGGTGCTTGGGTTGGTTCTGGTGAAGATCAAAATGCTTGAATCGGTAGATTTTGGAGATTATGAAGAAGAATGTAAACACAGAGACCAAGACGGCCAGACGGCCATTTTAAATACCAAGCTCCCCTACTCGCCTACAACGCCTATGACATCGATCTCATGCTTTACATTCAGTCATGACATCACCTTCTTTCGAGCATGACACCCCGCGTTAGACCATTTATAGCGTCAATGTCCCTGAAATTATGGGGACCACCGCGAACTAGCACCGCCACAAAACACCAGCCTCAGAATGCCACAGCTGTTCCAGACCAGGTGGCCCGTGCTCCTCGAGCTTCCATGAGCCAGATGTCCATTTCGCTCCAGCGCGAAAGTTGCATCGTGGAGTTGTCAAGCTCTACAACAACCTTCCCTCACCCCACGAAACCTATATACAGCCCTTCACCATGCTGTCGGCTCTTGGAAACCCGCGGCAAGCTGCTGCGCAGCTCATGAACTTTGCGCTCATCCTCTCCACTGCCTTCATGGTGCGAACGTGTCTTGTTCAGCTTCCGGACGAAAGCTAACCTGTCGCAGATGTGGAAAGGCCTCTCCGTTATCAGCGACTCACCGTCCCCGATCGTCGTAGTTCTATCTGGCTCCATGGAGCCCGCCTTCCAGCGAGGCGACCTACTCTTCCTCTGGAACCGAAACCTGCTACAGGAGACCGAGGTTGGCGAGGTTGTCGTTTACAACGTCAAGGACAAGGACATTCCTATCGTGCACCGAGTTGTACGCAAGTTTGGCAAGGGGTATGTTGTTTATGCAAGGTTTGCGGGCAATGGCTAATGATGAGCAGTGATACCGCTCAGCTTCTCACCAAGGGAGACAACAACCTTTCGGACGACACCGAGCTCTACGCCAAGAACCAGGACTACCTCGTACGAAGCGACATTATTGGAAGCGTTGTGGGATACATGCCATTCGTCGGTTACGTGACGATTCTTCTATCGGAATATCCTTGGCTAAAGACAGTGATGTTGGGATTTATGGGTCTGATGGTGGTTCTACAGCGAGAATAAATGGTGTATGCGAAGGGAAGATCTTGGATATTATATATACAAAACAAGCATTTGCATTGTCGCTGAAGTAGCGCCAAGAGACGATTCGATTGATACCCATTGCGTCAATTTCACAAGAGCATATCGGTGATTCCCGACAGAGACGAAGGATCTCAATGGGACGTTTTGGTGCCAAGCCGGTGGAAGTGAGGTAACAATGTCACAACATCCGTCGGCCGTCTTGTCCAGGCACTTGACCAAAGGCTAGGCATTAGTTAGCGGGTGAGTAGGTACTCCGTATTGCTAGATATTTACTGTTGAAGGGTGCAGGCCTATAGGACCAATCTACCCGCCTTGACCCTTGAAGGGCCTCTTCACTTTTGGTCTTGCGGCATCTTCAACATTTACAACCTGGTCTTTCGTTGGGTCCAGTTTGACTGACTCATTGAAAGGGGCACGCTACAATAGCCCTATAGAATTGGCATTCAGGTTCGGCGATTTCCTCATGTTGTCCCCTGGTAGGTCTAATCTTAGCTGCAACTGCACCCATACCCAAAGCGGCTAACCATAAGATTCTTAACGGCCGCCGCCAAGGATGAAAGGAAAATTTCGCTTTGTTTCTTTCGTTAGTCGTTTTCGAAAGATGTTGGGTTCTATTCCCGACAATTCATGCTTTTGCCAGCATCATGATCCCGTTCTCAGTCATGGATGTTTCATGTCTAAAGCAGCCTCAAATGAAGGACCTGAATGAAAATAGAGTCAACACCCAAGGCAACAGTGACTTGAGCAGATTCTGCTCTGAAACTAGAAGAGAGAGCCTTGGTAATTACTCTTTGGCTCTTGGAATCCCCATTCCACAGGGCTCTCAAACAAATCGCCATTCCCGTAACCGACAAGCCCCTTAGATCATCATCCATGGATCATCACCTCCACTCATCGCGCTACTCCTTGCAGGAAGCCAATTGAACAAGGGACTAACACGCTTTTACTCCTTGTAAGGCCCAGGGGCTATGATCCAACACCTCAATCTCGAATAATGAATGGCCTGGGGGTTTCACAGCTGGAAGCGAGCTAATCGTTCCTTTTTCTTTTTAAATAATAAAGTCTATCTTACCCGCCTTTTCACACAAGGCTCTTCTTTTTTTTTCGTTTTCGCTTCGTTTCCGGTCATTCATTCGTTCGCTCGTTCGCTTTTTACACTCGTTATCGCTGCGCTACCTTTATTCCCGGGGCTCAAGCGCGCCGCGTCCTTTCGTTCGTTCCATTTCATATTTTAAATCCGTCGTATTTCGTACAATGGCGCCTGAATCTTCTACCCAAACGGATCCTGCACCAGCAGTTGCTCCCGCTGCTCCTCCCACTGCGCAATATGCCCCTCAGACGTACGCTCAGCAGCAACAGCAGCAACCTGGCTTCCAGCAAGACCCTCGCAGCTATGGGCCCCCTTACGCGCCGTACCCGCAACAGCCTGCTCAGCAGCAATGGACGCCCCCTCGGGTCGCCGAGTCCAAGGCCTGGATGATCACCAAGCTCACACTCCACGGGATCGACATCGTTTGCTGTATTGTTGGACTCGGTCTTACGGGCGCGCTCAGAAGTACTGAGACACTGGGTCTGGTCGCGCTCGGTGCTTGTCCACTTGTACGGCTCTCTAAACCTCCTTGTTTTGATGACATGTGCTGACACTCTCTAGTTCGTCGTAGCAATGATCTGGGATATCGCCGAATTGGCCACTCGTTTCGGTCGCAAATGGAAGGCCGGCATTCACCCTGGCGCCCACGTCGCCATCTCCCTCTTCATCTGGCTTGGTGCTGCTATCGTCGGTGGCCTCGAGAGCACTTTTAGCGCATACTATAACGAGTTCGATTACCTCGACGAAGACTGCGAATACAATTCTTCACAAGGACGTTACATTTGCACAAGCAGCGACAAAGTTGGCAGCAAACGCACGCTCTTTATTGCACTATCAGTGTTTACCTGCCTCATCTGGCTCTGGCACTTCATCCTATTCGTCGGCGCGTGTATCGATACCCAGAAGCGAAACGCCGCAATGAGACGACCCGTTACAATGGTGTTCGGAGGACCGGCTTATTGGGGCCCCGGAGCGCAAGGTTTCCAGCAGGTGCCTCAGTATTACGGACCTCCTCAAGGGCAGAATATCCCCATGCAGAACTGGACACCACCACAAATGGGAAATGGCAAGGAACCTATGGCAGCAACTCAGCCTGCAGCTGAGCGCTACGCTTGAGAAGCTGGAGGATACCATATTAAATCTGAGAATAATGTAAAACAGGTAAAATGATGTCAAGATAAAAAAAAAAAATTTAAAGACTCCTTCTTTCTCTAAAGTATCCTGAAGTGTTCCATAACTCCCGTCCCGCAAGAGGACCGACCGAAGGCTGTCAAATCCTGTGCTCCCTAATAAGTCCGTATGGCTGCCTGACCAGGACACGATCAATTGGCCCCTGGTGCGAATCCTGGCGCGATGCCTAGCTTCATTTCTCCAATATCACCCCCCTTGAAAACTTGAACACCTCTCAATCATACATGGTTAGTGTCTGTAGCGTAGGGTACCAAGTTTGCAGATCTCGGCGCGGACGGCAGCTTGAAACCTGGACAGTGTAGCTAAAGACAAGACTCACATTTCATGTTCAAGCCGTCGATAGTCAAAACCAACTTGTAAGGGAACCTCCAGTACAAATATCTAGTACCACCAGAGGCCTGCGCTCCCTGACCCTCAAGCAGAAAATCCTGGTGTAAGTGTGTGACATCTGTACTGAAAACACCAATTTTCTGAGCATCTAAGATGAAATGTCAGTATTGGTTGATTGAGGCTGGCTGGCTGACTCATGTCTCAAGGGCCATACCTTTATTATGCTCGTGGAGATAACTATGATGGTCTAGATAGGCCGCATCGGATACCCATATCTCTTCTTGGCAAGTGAAGGGCCCCTTGTTGATTGTGCCATCGTCGTTCCAGAAAGGGAATGTGCAGCAACGCGGGGCCGATATCTGGAACGATGGCGGGATAGCTTGATGCTGAGTGTATTTGTCAGTGACCAACTTGTCTGTGATACAAACAGTAAAGGCTTGTCTTCTTCGTAATCCATTGTATAGCTTCTACAAAGAGCTCCTGTGCGTTATCACGGCCCTGGATCGTTGGCTGACCCGCATGCATCGCATGCAGAAAAAGCTCATCACATCGGACCCCGTAGCTCGAGTTTGCGACTCTAGTGGGACCGTAGAGCTTGTCCAAGGCTCTTAGAACACCCCCCGAAGAAACGGCATCGACTGCTGTAGTCCTGTCTTCATCATCAGTTTCTGATTTTTAGGTAAGGGGATGGGTGGATCTGACCGCTCATGCTCGCCGGCGACATGCAGCTCAACATTGGAATTTTGAGCAGCGTTGAAGCTTGCCAGCGCCTCGCGGAGACAAGTTCGTAAGGGCTTTGATTCCCCAAAGCCGCCAGCCAAGACGACTTTCTAGTTCTTCTTAGTTAAGTATATCTTCTAGCAAACATTGAAATCACTCACGCCGGTCTTCAGGCCAAGTTGTGTTGTTTCATGTAGCTGCTTCGTCATAAGCATAGACACCTCGTCACATACACGTCGGTAGATGTTGTTCAAGTGTTCACTATCACGATATTCAGATCAAACTCATACAACGGCTGGGCTGGTGACGAATTACTTACGCCTGAATTGTCAATGTATGAGGGCAAGGCTGTTGATTATCTGTCGCCTGGTTCCGACTCCCGGGGTCGGACCGAAGCCCAAAGACCTCAAGCACCCGATCTTGGCTGTTTTGAGAGACAGCCCACCCGGTCTTGAGGTAATGCTCAAAGTCGTGGGCTGCCAACTTGCAGATGTGGCCTTCTAAAGTTGCGCCGTCCTTGTTAAAATAGTCGTGGTCTGCAAGCAGATTCTCGAGGAGTTCCCGGAATGCAGCGTTCAGTGCGTTGGAGCCACATGTACCACCTAAAAATAATGCATTAGTAGTCAGAACACCCCCATACAGGTACAGGAGACTTACCGCTGTGATGCACCAGTTGTCTCTCGAGTCGAAGAGGTGATTTGCGAGTGACAATATAAGTTAAGGCATCGCAAGTGCCTCCGCCTGCGTCAAGGATCGTGAAAACGTCTCCTCTCTATAACTGGTCAGTTTTGTGACATTGTTTCAAAGGCAAGAATTTGACTACTTTGATCATTGACCGGCGCATGGAGAGTAGCCACGTCGCTGCAGCCTCTGGCTCTGTTATTATAAAAACTTGAGTGACACAGTCGTTGCCGAAGTCAACACCTGGGAAATTGACACGCTTCGCGGCAATAGCGACATAAGTTTGAATATCTCGCAGTGCCTTTTGTCTCTAAATCACTGGGACGCAAATGACCAACTCTGTAGATATAATAATTATTATATTAAAAATTATTATATATTAATCT